GTTATAACAAAACATTTTACTGGTGGTGAGTTCCAAGGGAGAAGTCATTGACAAGTAAACCCAGATGCTTTCTTCTTTAATTGCCATCAGACAACAAACCCAATGGCATTAACTCATTGTACTGCATAGTATTGATGTGATGAGCTGTTACAGTAGCAATGTCACCTTTGTTGTACATGTAGGTTGTTGTACGATTTCGATGGCATAGAGTTTTCAAGTGGACTGTGACAGAGACTAGTGCAGACAAGAACCTCAAACAGTCTTTTTCAGAATAAGGCAGCAAAATTTTGTATGCCACATTCATGACTATCTCAAGAATGCCATCCGTTTGCCACCTGTTGTTTTACAGTCTAATTAAGGCTCATAAGACCATCCCTGCACAGTGGGGGGACAAGGTGACTAATCTTTCCTCAACTTTGTCCATCATTATGTGGTTCACTGTTATACTCCATCTGTAATCCAAACCTTTCTCTGTCAGATCCACCATTGGCCACTTGCAATAGTCAAATCCAATGTGCTATGGTGTGCTTTAAGTACAGGTTGAAGTATGATCTTGGGACTATAGCAATATAATGGTGCATTGGTGTTCTGCCAGCATCATCCATTACCTCCATGCACCTGAGATACTGGTTTTTGTGTAAGGCCCATGGGTCCAGGGGGAATCCTGCATGTAGTTTAAATCCCTTTGAAGTATATTTCAACCTTACAACTTCTATAGTGCATACTCTGCAAGATTTTGAAAAGTATAGTTGATGGCTGATTTGGAATTTGAAAATGAAAGAGACTATTCATGACTATAGTGTATTTAGCACTTGGGTAATCGTAGATTGTTCATGAAGACTTCACTCTTCCTGCCCAAATATAACCCAGATATTTTAGGCCCAACTCGCTTTAACAGGAAATATCATGACTGATTCCCGCAGTATTCCTGGCTGACTTTGACGAACGTCCTTGTAGCTAATGGCAAGATAGTAAATAAGTCAAGCCGAATAATGAGGACTCTGTAATTATACTTTTATACATTGTAGCTCAATCGCCATCCTTAATGAAGCCTTTCCTACTCACACCATTAGTTTAAACTGTTCTAAGCACATTGATCTGATGGATGGTCTACTGGGGGTCATAAAGACATCAATATGATACTTTTAATGGCTGGGTTATGGCCTAATCTGTCAGAAGTTAAGCACAGTTTTGAGCTGTGTTCCAAACAATCAATGTTGTGTGTTATTGGGAAGAGTCCAGGCTTACATGGATCATGTTTGGGTAGTTAACTCAGATAGCAGTGATACATGGCACACATTGCTTCCAGGGGTGAGCCTGGAGGTGCATGTATGGTTAATGAAAGATTATGCAAGGGTTTTACTAGATTTCAAAATTATTAACAGGCAGGGCGGTCTACTAAAAATCTCAATGGTAATAATACATTCCCCAGAGGCAGTACAAGACTAGAATAGCAAGCCTACCAAAAGGATGGAAATTCTTTGAGTTTCTAATTACCTTCGCCAAGAAGGTTAATGTTTTCAGAGGCGTTCGTGTATGTGTGTGTGTGTGTGTGTCTGTAAACACGATAACTTGAGAAGGCCTTGAGGGATTGTCTTGATACTTAGTAGGTGGGTAGGTCTTGATGAGACCTCAAAATGATTAGATTTTGGACCCCCTAGTGTCTTGTTATGGTACTGCAGCTGAACTTCCGGTTTTCATATCTCATGATCTAGACATGCTAGGGTGACGAAATTTGCATGGTAGGTAGGTCTTGTGCTGGGAAAGAAGTGACGTAAGTTTGGGCCCCCTAGCGGCTTGCTCTGGAACTGCAGGGCTAAATGTTTGAAAATATTCAAAAGAGGATAACTCAAGAACCGGTTGACGGATCGTCATGATTTTTGGTATGTTGGTAGCTTACGTGATGCTTGATATAATTATGTGACAATTATGCAAATCTGGATGTAATTTGCATAATTTATGGGGAAATGGATAAATCAGCTGTATTCCATGATAGGACTATTGTATCTTGTGAAATTGGTAATTGAGAACGAGAGAAACACAGACAAATATTCATTATGTAAATGAAGACCTAATTTGCATAATTAATGAGAAAATTTCATAATTATGTAATGATAAGTGCCTGGAATTTTATACTTGTGGTATTTGAAAGATAAGTGAAGGTGAACATCATTAAACATGATGTATTCCAATTAGGACTTCATTTGTATAATTTATTAGGAAATGCTAGAAAGGCATTGTTTGTTAATAAAAGACTGTCTTTTGGTTGAGAATATGATAAAATCATATAATTCATGAAAATGAGGATCCTATTTGTTAAATCGGGGGAATAATCTATAATTTGTCAGTCATAAAGATTAACATCATTTGGCGAAGGTATGAGATCGGGGAACTCTAGTATTTTCAGAGGCGTTCGTGTGTGTATCTGTGTGTCTGTAAACACGATAACTTGAGAAGGCTTAAATGGATTGACTTCATATTTGGTAGGTGGGTAGGTCTTAATGAGACCTCAAAATGATTAGATTTTGGGCCCCCTAGCGGCTTCTTATGGTACTGCAGCTTAACTTCCGGTTTTGATATCTCGTGATCTGGACATGCTAGGGCCACGAAATTTGGATGGTAGGTAGGTCTTGTGCTGGGGAAGAAGTGGCGTAGGTTTGGGCCCCCTAGCGGCTTGCTCAGGAACTTCAGGGGCATTTCTTTGAAAACATTCTAAAGAGGATAACTCAAGAACCGATGGACATATCGTCGTGATTTTTGGTATGTAGTTAGCTTAAGTGACGCTTGACATAATTATGTGGCAATTATGCAAATCTGGATGTAGTTTGCATAATTGATGAGGAAATTATATAAATCAGCTGCATTACATTATAGGATTATTCAAGCTTGTGACATATGTAATTGAGAACAAGAGAAACACAGGCAGATATTGATTATGTAAATTAACACTTAATTTGCATAATCAATGAGAAAATGTTATAATTCCATGATGGTAACTGCCTGGAATTTCATACTGGGGGTATTTGAATTTAAGTTAAGTGAAGGTGAACATCATTAAACATAACATAGTCAAATAAGGACCTCATTTGCATAATTTATGACGAAATGATAGAATGCCTTTGTTAAGATAAGGTTGTCTTTTGATGGAGAATATGATCAACTGATATAATTCATGCAAATGAGGATCCTATTTGCATAATCAGGAGGAATAATCTTTACTTTGTCAGTCATAAAGATTAACATCATTAGGCAAAGGTATGAGATCGTGGAACTCTAGTTTGTCTGTTGATTCTGTCTGTTGTAATGCCCAGTCATCATCATCATCAGTCATCCTCATCAGAGGTGAAGCATGATGCTTTTTCTATATAGCTATGCCCAGTAATAACAGTAGAAGAATCCACAAAACACTGAGAAGCTTATCCTGCAAATTTCCATTCCATAGACAGAGATTAAATGTTGGCCAGCTGACCTCAAGATTGGGCGCATTGATTGGATGCACACTGCATTGCAGGAACTACAGATTTACATGCATTCCACATCAAAAGTTTGATTCCTGGATCCAGATCTAAAAATTGTTCTGTCCCAAATATTCAATCACTTCTTCCTTTCTAAGCATAGACCTTTCAACAGGAAATCAAGGAAAATCCAATCAGAACTTCTAGATTCATCCTGCCGATACCTTAAACTGTACACAATTGCACACTCATCTCCTGTGATAGAATAAAGTGGAACCAATAGGTACAACCTGGAAATCATTGGCAGGTAGGGGATGCAATGGCTTTGTCAATAGAAACTAAAATAATCTTGGAAATTGACCTAAAATAGCTGTGTAGTCATCAACATTTAGCCTTAATAAGTTAATTGTAAAAGGAAGGCATGATACTCAGGGGAGGAGTGCTTGGGAGCAGTTAGAAGAAATAAAGTCAAACAGAGGAAATAGTCTACATGTATGTGAGAAATGTTTGTTTCCCTTCCACCGACACCGATATTGAATCATACACATGGGGAATTGTCAGTACTTCTCTTTTCATTGTTTAATACATTATGCTAAGCTCAAGGCCTAAATGCTGACTGAACTGATATCTGTAATTTGATGAGCGTGAAAAGACAGATTTCCAATATGGTGGCTGGTTTGTGACAAACCCAGGCTTAGCACAACTAGGATGGAACGACTGCAGATTTATGACATCCCGTGGGAACTGGACCTAATTATTCTGCCCCTATATAACATACAAACTTAATAAGTATTGGTGTTATGGCAGGATTCGAGTGCATTTATGTCAGTTTGATGTGCAGAGTAATCAGACTGTGCCGGAAAGATGGCAGCATGAAGAGTTTTGAAAAAGGGCAGATTTGCCATTTTGATAATTACTGTGGTGATGTACAGCCGCTAGTAATTGGGGAGCATAATTTGTTTGTGGCTTGAAAGGTCATAACCTTTACATGAGAAAAATGCCAATGTTGATAATTAGAATGACACACTTGTGTCAGTCAGCTTGTTACAGAAATGACTAAGTCTTATGTCATGTTGGTCACCCTTGAACAAGAAGTTTATCATAGGAAACACTAATAGGAACCAAAGAAATGATGAACATCTTATAACTTAGAAATTAAAAATAACCCAGCAGTTTTTAGCAGCAAATTGATTAGGCCTGATTTTTCAAAGAAACCAAAATACTGGGCTTTACACACCATTTTCTTGCTTTAGTCTTTTAGATGTATGTTTCAATTGTTTTTTTTTTACATGTCTGTGGATTATGATAGGTCCTAGTTGATGACTTTGCCTAGAAACTTTGTGACAACATGCTTATTTGAAAAACATCCTCAGGAGAAGTTGAGGCCCAGGCTTGTTAAGACTTCCGTAAATGCTTTTATGGAGTGGATCTTAGCTGCCCCCTCCCCCCAAATGCCTCTGCATCTATTCCTATCCTCCTAAGAACTGTCCTACTTTCTTCTTGCCATGACTGATCCTCTGTCACTGTTGAAACCTGCCGTTACAGATACCATAGAGGCAAACGTTGAGAAAGCCTACGGCAATGTGGAGTCAGGGAACAAACAGCTAGAGAAGGCCAGCCAATATCAGGTAAAGCCTGCTCTCTGTTTTACTTATTTTATCACAGTCTTACAGACTCTGTCTTGTAATAGACTTAGGTGACTTAGAATGATTGCACATCCCTGTCCTCATCAGTTATGGGTGGTGGTAATTTCCTGGAGGAAAACACATCAGTTATCAGTCCTTATCAAAGTAATGTGTATGTGTGAAATGCTTCCTTAACTGATGATGATACCAGTAATGTCTATGTGGAAATCCTTAGTGGAATGAAATCAGTGCCATCTCCATAAATTATTGTAACTTAAGTGTTTTGATTGCTAAACAAAAACAACAAAACAAAACAGGAAACAAAAAAATTTTGTACCATTCACACCAACAAAGTCTGTAACTTATTCAGACTCTATAACTTATAATTATATTGTGAAGCAAAACTCATGCCCTGTTATTTGACGTATGTCTGCCCAGGGGGGATAATATGATAGTGCTTTGCTAGTGTGTTGAATTACCTCTAAAATTGCTGTATTGACATGAGTCTGTTTATCATCCTTACATGAAATATTTGCTCTTTGTATGAGTAGAAATGAAGCAGCAACATATTTCTAGACCTGCTGGTCAGGATATTTGTGCATGTTTAACCAGCAAACTGCAAACTCCCATTCTTTCTGTTTGACAAATGTACCAATTTAAAAGGTAATTATACACATGAATGGCCAGCAAATATGACTAAATCAGTCAGTGGCAGCAGTGAAAGGTCACGGTGACGTATCATGCCAAGATCACTCTGCACTGCTGTTACAAACTAATACCTCAGGCATTGTGCAAATGCCAAAAGTGCTGACTCATAAAGTAGCCATTTCCTTAACCAAATAATAAAGTTTGATATTCTTGATAATGTCCGCATTAGAATTGACATTTTACAACAGCTTACTAATGGTGAAATATATCCAATGACGTTTGAAATCTAATGTTGTTGTTGTCTTTTTCTCTCAGAAAAAGGCCAGAAAGAAGATGTGCTGTTTGCTGGTGGTTCTGCTCGTTGTGGGTGGCATCATTGCTCTTATTGTTTACCTGTCTGTCAAGAAATAGATGACACAACCATATCACGCTCAGTGAGGACATAGACTATTCTTCAAGGAATCAAACAACTCAAGGATGGGAGAGTTTGATTCAGAAACATAGCAAATGAACAGGAAAATCTAGAATCACTCATCAGCAAATATGCAATCTGATTGTAGACTATCCACAGTACCACAGTACCATGTTGATTTACATGTATTTCTCTGTTAAAAAAAGAAGGTTAGAGTCACACAATATGCACCTTCCCAGACAGATCTGCCAAACATTAGATTTGACATACTCATCTTTCATTTTTGTTGTTTAAATTTACTGGTTCTTACCCATCCCTCCCCATAATGTACATAGTAAATGAGAACCAGTTATATATTCATACCAACTATAATTAGCTTTGCACTATAAGGGACAAGTATGGCTGTAATATGGATAATAGGATCAGGAAGTTGACATTGATTTCATGTCGCTTACTTAAAGTTAATCAGTTATCATTAGTTTCATGTTGTAAATGCTGCAGAAAAAAATGAAGTGAGGTAAAATATTTTATATGAGATTTTAGATAATTTTTCCTGGTTTCAGTTCAGCTTATAATCTCTTGTAATGAGCTTTCCCAGCCTAAACTTCATTTTAAACAGTATAAAGTGTGTAATGTGAATTAATCTGAAGTCTAGGGACAGAGTACAGGATGCATGTATGATATAACACATCCTTCACTTCACGTCTGCCTTCTAAGTTAGACTTCTCAGACATTCAATACTTTTGGCTGGAAACCAGCCAAGGCCATTCTTCCAAATTTTGATATGTAAGAAAAATCTGTCTTATTTTAGTCAATAAAGTTTCTTCAAGTAGCCAATTTATATTCCCTACCATCAGATGACCTTTTGCTGCTGACAGATTTGACAGCATTGCAATGTTAAGGCACTGGTGAATTATAGCCATTCTTTATGCTTTTCTTCGTGTTATATCTGCAGAGAACTACCTTCTTGTTTGAACCTGCAAAACAATGTATATGTCAGGGTAGGGACCCTGATTCTGATATCTTTGTCTTTGTCGACCCAGACTCCAATCAGGATGCTGTTAATGTGTTAGGGTGGTTTCCTATTTACAGGTCCTAAATTTCAAGTCCATCTAAAGAGGCATGAATAAAAGCTGAAAAGTTCTGTCTGTCTTTGAAGCGAATATCTTAAAATTTACAGACAGAGACTCTGATTCTGATTTCTACCAGTACAATTGCCAATTCTACCAGAGCAGAGTGTCTACCCTGACACATACAGTAATGCAGATCAAACATATCTGGCAATGTGATTATGAAGATAGATGCACAAAAATGAAGACATAAGGTTTTGCTCAAAATACCCCATGAAGTAACCTTGAATCTGGAGCTTCCAAAGTGAAACATCAACAGAAGCAATCAATAGAGACCTATCCATTTTCTTGATGGATAATGTATTCAATCTTTCAGAATCACTGGGTTTAACTAGGAGACATCTTTTGTTTTCACACCAGTGCACTTTACATCATTTACTTATGAAAGCTGTCAAGGAGAGAGGGCATTAAATTGACCCATATTTTATAGCCACTGTAATATCACACTGTGCATTTAATGACAATATCATATGAGGGAATGCTTAGTTTAATATGAATTGTTCACTTTATGCGTTTGGGGACCTTATACCTGTTCAAGGCCAGCATTTTCCACCAGGATGATTTTAACTGCCAGGTCTTAAAACAGGAGGGTCATTTATGCATGCAGATGAGTATTAGCATACTTTACAGCTCCTCTGCTGACAACAGTGTGTTAGATACAAATGTATTTGGTAAGAAAAATAATTCACAAAAAAATATGTTGCTTCAGTTCTTTCCATGCTTTCAATGACTTATGTTGATCATATTTTTGAAGTGTAAAATTGATACCCAAATTTAGTTTCCATGTTGTATGTCTGCTAAGTGTTATCAGCATGGTAGATTGAATTACCTGTACTTTGCAAAATTATCCCTTGCAAAGCTTGGTGAATCCTGACATTTATGAATGCTGCTAAAACCTTCTTTTTGTGATGCTTGCCATGTCTTTGATTTTAGCATTGTGAAGTAACATAGACTAGATTTTCAAGATTTTGATCATTCCATCGTAGAAAAAAAGATCTCAGTCTATGTAGTTTTTAGACAATCTTGAAAGAAATGTTTGATTTTTGTACTTCTGACCTTGTGAAACATGTACATGTTAGTTTTTCTTATGCTCCATTCTTTTGTATTTTACATCATTTCTTGATTAAAGAATTTAAGCATTGACTATCATTATGGCTACACTATTCTTATTTTGTCCATCCTCCTATTCATCCCCAAAATCCTAACGTAATCAGATATCACTACCGAATCATGTCCCAAGCTTTGTCCTGTGCTTCATGTACATGTAGATAGTAGATGTGGCGCTTCGGATTTCGTGTAATCTATTTTGGCATTTTACTACCACAAATGACCATATATCACTCCGCCATGTTCTATGTTAGAAATTTTCGACGAGAAAAGGAACGATTTCTACACGTTTTAGGTAGCATTATCCACATAGATGTTGCCAATAGACCATTGAAACCCGACTGAAAGGAAAAGGGCATTAGAGTGACTTGAATATTCGTGATGGTCAGACTGGTTAATGGCTCTATACTTTGTTCTTCTAGTACTAACGTTAGACATGCACGGAATACATTCAAAAGGAAAGCACATTTATAGAAACAAATTCCCATGGGTTTCTCCAAGTGGAAGCAGGCGGGTTAGTTCTGTATTATCTTAACTGTAAATGACCACGTTGTCTTGATGATTATTACACACACATGCAATGTCTGTTTTATGTTAGTAAAATCTCAGCAGACATTGTCTGCAATGCTTCTGTTGCTTGCTGGCTGTCGCGATAAGCGAGTGTTGGCGGTAACAGGGTTTACCGCCAGAAATATGGCTTCCTTCGGCATGCATGCTCTGAAAATGAAGATGTCATGAACTTTTTTCACCCCCACTACACGACTGTTATAGAAAATGTACAGAAAAGGGAAGAATTGAGATACGCCCTTAAAGGGTTCCGTGTGCATTAATTCTCCAGGATGGATTGCCGAGCACCGACTATTCAAATCATCGTCACTACAAACAGGTAAATGTATCTAATCGTCTGATATACCTGACCTTGAAACATGGCGAGACTATCACTTGGTAAAATCCTGACGTCATAGAGGCAGCAGCAATGTCATTATGTTCTTCCTGCCTGGCTGAGTCGGTTCCACTTGGTCTAAAATTATATCCCGATCATATAGTCTCACTTCTACGCTACAAACTCAAAGTGATCGCTATTTCCTCTCACTTCTACGCTACAAACTCAAAGTGATCGCTATTTCCTACTATGATATTTACATGTAGCTGAAACCATGAGTTTTTATTGCTCTAATCTCCAAAAAGAGGCTTGCTTTAGGCGCTGGCTTATTTCTGACGCAATGTAGGCGTTCTTATCTTTTTTGTACTGTACTTTTGTTGCTAATCAAATGAATACTATAACCAATTTGATACTAGTACTGTCTTGCTTGCAGCCGGCCTCCAAAAGATATGCCTGGAGATTACTACCGTTTCTTTCAGATTTCATTGGTTTAGTTTCATTGGCTGCTTCCTTCCTTCCTTTCATGTCAAGCTGAAACAAAGTATTGGCAAAATTTGTTTTCTTGTTAACCTGGGCTGTTTTATTGTTAAGACGTTTCGTTCCGTTTGACGATTTGCCCATGGGAACTTTAGCTTTCAGCAGTGTAATAAAACGCGCACGGACTATAATTTGAGTTTAGAGGTTGGCGCCATCGTGTTTAAAGGGTAGCCTTGCGGGCTTTTTCTGTTTCCCACACGATTTACAATCGAAAATCGATCAAGAGCAGAATCAGTAGAATGGATCTTGGTTTATTAGGAACTCGTTTCAACTAAGTATGTCTACAAGATCAAGAACTGCGCGTGTAATTTTCGATTGATTGCTTGGGTAAGTTCAGATTGCTTGCTCACTTTCATCGTTGATTCCTTCTCGTTAGGCGTAGCTGTTTTATCACTTTGGTCGCCCTTAAAGTCTTCGTTTAATAATTCAAGTGTTAGGCATCTGGTCGATATTTTTAAGAAAATCAACCATAAAAGAATACACGTGAGACTGGTGATAACTATCGGTAGACAGCTTACCTCACATATCCGTTAGTTTATGCATGTCATACTTTGAATCATAACAATAGAACTTCTTCTGCCTGCAAGTATTAGATGTCTACGTTGTATACCTAGTAAAGTTTTGTTGCGGTATGCCTTTGTCCTTCAATGAAAGGTGCTTGAAAAGCGATTACAAGTTGAATGGTCGACCGAATACTTATATCGGGGCATTGGTTCATAAGATTCGGAGTGTATGACGATTAACCACCGTTTATTGAACCAATAAAATTACTGAATGACGCGTGAAGAGGAACACAGTGATGACGAAGAATCGATGCACTATTAATAAAGGTTATCATAATTAATAAAGTAAAAGTTGTTGGGTTAAAACTTTTTTGAGGATCGAAATCATTTTGAGCTTCTAAGAGAAATGGTTCACGTGCCTTTCCATTTGGTGGGGCGTAATGACTCAGTAATTGCAGTTTTTCCTCTGTCGTAACTTGGCCACTGAAAATTCTACGTCCCCAGTGGGACCCAGCACCTAAGAGGTGCACGGAAACTCATTAAACCTTTATTGGTGTGCGGATACCGATCTGCAGCGATCACTGTTCTTCTGCCGCGAGATTTACTGCGCCAGTAGTGCTTGGTCAATGAAACTGAGACATTGGATCTATTCAGAATTAGGGGTGAGCCTGTCGTTATGAACTTAGTGGTGAACCGGGGGTGATACTACGCCCCAGTAGAAAAGTTATTTCGGGACTTGTACAATGCTGACGTGCATGTCCCTGTATTTCCCATGGGTAGAGCTATCTGCAGGTCATTAGAACTGCACCAAATGCACATGTTCAGATAGAGGGCAGAATTCTATGTTCACTTTTGACCACACCTTTAACCACTTTAACATCTTTAGATGATAGCTGTTAGTTGATAGGTTCCATTTGTAGCGTCGTCTTGCAGTCTCTTTTCTTTACTTGACTTTGTGACTTTGTGTCATACATATGCAACTTTGCAAGTGCTGGAGCTACGCTGATGGACTTGCGTTCCTCTTCACCGTGCCTTGAAGCGAGTACGAACAATCAAGCATGGTAGCGAGATCTTGTTGGAAACATTGCATGTTTGGGTAAAACTTGTAAGTCATAGATATATTAGTTACAAGTCGTCTGAAAAGGCTCAAGAGAGGACATGTCGGTCCCCGTCTGATATAGCCGGACAAAATGAATGTCTGTTCCTCCCGGATGAATCTATACTTTCAGCATGAATGGGAGTAACTTATCGTGAGTTCCTTGAAATGATATCTGAATCCCGACAAAGAACGCCAGCACCGGATGCATGATTGTTTGGATTGCGCGGAGTCTAACGGCAAATTTACAATTATTGGTGTTATCAAGTTTATCTTTTTGTGCAAATTCAATCATGGGAAACCTGCAACAAATTATGGAATCTTTCTCTGCCGCTGGCAATTGTATGATCAATCTTTCTCTTGCGACTTGTATATCGTGAACACATCAGAATCACTGGTATTGATGCCAACACATTCACATCCCCCAGGCGATACTCCACGTGAATGCAAAGATAGCTCAATGATAGTAAGTTACCTATAACCACAGTGTGAAGTATATCATCTAGCGTTTTCTCTCGCCCATTTGCCTTTTAATATTTGCTGCCATGAAACAGGTTCTTTTTTATCAAAAGTTGTTTTTCCTCGTGAATCAGGTCAATGTACTAGTTGTGCATGATGATGGGCATACGTCTTTCAACTTTACATTGGACAAATATATGTGGAGGTTCCCGCTCATTCAACGCTGCGCCTTATCTTATATGTTTGCCATGTATTAATATAGACTGTATAAAAAGATGAGTGGTGATATTATCTTCAATATAAAGGTTTATCAAAGGATGCAGCTTGAGAATGGAATCGTCCAAAGTTTACGGTATGGACGATCAAAACTTTTCATTTCTGGTACAGGTTACTGCACAGGTAGATAGCATTTGCTTTAATATCGTAAAGTCATGACCCAAGATCATGAAAACTTTATAAGAGCTGAAGAAAGTTTGTGTCATTCTGGAATTATTAGTTAAGTACGTATATATGCCCGGAAAACTCTATGGTTAAAGCACAGATCTTGGCAACTATTGACAAGCATCCATCAACTCCTATTGTATATATCTTCAAAGTAACGGCTGGCGTAACGTCATATTAAGGAAGAAACTCTGCTGGTTCACAGAATAGCTTCTTGTTACTCGATGCACCAGACTATCTGTAGTGATCGACGCCAAATAGTTCATCATGCATTCTTTCGTGCTTGTCTTGACGTCAAGGTGACGAATGCTTTTAGTGGAAGATTTTCGTAAATGCATAATCTTTGACAACCACGAAATTGCTGAATGTTATTAATATTTTGTATAATTGATCACTTGGATTATGGGCGTATGAAGGTTTGATGTGTGTATTTTATAACAGGGTCTGATATGTAATGATTTGTTTGTTTTATGCTTTATTAAGTTTCATCCTCAGCTGAGAATTTCGCAGGTGGGTAGTGAAGTTTCATGTTTGTTCACCAGGCGCCACACTTTACGACTGAACACGGACCTCCACGGACCGTCAATCTCGCACGCTGGGATGATTGCTTCCTGATACATATCGGCCCAAAACGAATTGGATTTGAAGGTGAACCTTTTCTATTCGTTCCAATTTCCTCTGCACACATCTGGTACACTTGATGGTTGGAGAGGGAGTGTCGCGTTAGTAAAAACACCCAACCTGTCCTGTCGGCACAATTATACCCCCAGATGTGTCGCTGTACATCACAAAACACACCCTAACAAGAACTAAACACAAACATATCTGTGCGTGGGTGATAAATGTCCACTGATGGAGGTACAGAAGTTCCAGAGTAGGATTTGATTGATTCCTATCCTCCCTAGCGCCGCTAGTTCTGATTGACTGATTACGTATATATTTGGGCGAAACAGATAATGCATGCGTTATTATTGTGATTACCTTTGGTTGTTTTTCTGCTATCTAGATTGATTTTATCATTTTGTTACTTCCAAGTACGGAGATATTGCTTTGGGTGCTCAGTTTCGCGTTTGCCTGTCTGTCCTAATCATGCTTCGGTTGCATGTTGGGTGGGAGGT